CAATTCTATCCCATTAGTCTACCTGTCTATTTTTTGTGCCAATACCAAGCTGTTTTCAGGACTATAGCTCTATCAGGGATGGTGATGCCTCCAGAAGTTCCTTTATTGTACATTGTTGTTTTGGCTATGCTGGGTTTTTTGTTTTTCCATATAAAATTGAGTATTGTTCTTTCAAGGTCTGTGAAGAATTGTGCTGGTATTTTCATGGGGATTGCATTGAATCTTTAGATTGCTTTTGGCAGGATTTCTATTTTTGCTATGTTTATCCTACCGTATCAAGAGCATGGGAGATCTTTCCATTTTCTGGTATCTTCTTTAATTTCTTTCTTTAAAGACTCAAAGTTCTTGTTATACAGGTCTTTCATTTGTTTGGTTAGTGTTACCCCCAAGATATTTTATGTTGTTTGTGGCTATTGTGAAGGATGTTTCTCTGATTTCTTTCTCAGCCCATTTATCATCTGTATATCATAAGGCTACTGATTTGTTTTTAGTTAATCTTGTATCCTGCCACTTTGCTGTAGGAGTTCCCTGGTAGAATTTTTCAGGCGACTTATGTAAACTATTATATCATCTGCAAATAGTGAAAGTTTGACTTCTTCTTTGCCAATTTGTATTCCCTTGATTTCCTTTTGTTGTCTTATTGTTCTAGCTAGAACTTCAAGTACAATATTGAAGAGATATAGAAGGAGTGGACAGCCTTGTCTTGTTCCTGATTTTAGAGGAATCATGTTGATTTTCTCTCCATTTAGTTTGATGTTGGCTGTTGGTTTGCTGTGTATTGCTTTTACTATGTTTAGGTATGTCTCTTGTATCCCTTATCTCTTCAAAACCTTTTTCATGAGGGGTTGTTGGATTTTGTTAAAGGCTTTTTAATTAAGCATCTAGTGAGATGATTGTGTGGTTTTTATTTTTCAGTTTGTATATATGGTGGATTACATTGATGAATTTTCATATGTTGAACCATCTCTGCATCCCTAGGATGACGCCTACTTGATCATGGTGGATGTTTTTTCTGATGTGCTCTTTGATTCTATTTACTAGTATTTTATGAAGTATTTTTGCATCAGTGTTCATGGGGGATATTGGTTTGCAGCTCTCTTTCTTAGTTGTGTCTTTGTGTGGCTTGGATTCCAAGGTAATTGTAGCATTGTAGAAAGAGTTTGGCAATGACCCTTATGCTTCTATTGTGTGGAACAGTTTGAGAAGAATTGGTATTAGCTGTTCTTCGAATTTCTAGTAGAATTCTGCACTGAAACCTTCTGGTCCTAGGCTTTTTTGTTTGGGAGACTTTTGATGTCTATTTCTATTTCATTAGGGGCTATAGGTCTGTTTAAATTGCTTACCTGTTCTTGATTTAATTTTGGTAAGTGATATCTATCCAGAAAATCATCCATTTCCTTTAAATTTTCAAATTTTGTGGAGTACAGGTTTTCAAAGTATGACCTGATGATTCTCTGGATTTCCTCAGTGTCTGTTGTTATGTCCCTCTTTTCATTTCTGATTTTGTTAATCCATTTCCTTTAAATTTTCAAATTTTGTGGAGTACAGGTTTTCAAAGTATGACCTGATGATTCTCTGGATTTCCTCAGTGTCTGTTGTTATGTCCCTCTTTTCATTTCTGATTTTGTTAATTTGCATGTTCTCTCTCTGTCTTTTGGTTAGTTTGGATAAAGGTTTGTCTATCTTGTTGGTTTTCTCAAAGAACCAACCAACTTTATTTCATTGATTCTTTGTATCATTTTCTTTGTTTTTACTTTATTGATTTCAGCCCTCAATTTTATTATTACCTGGCACCTACTCCTCCAGGGTGAGTTTACTTCTTTTTGTTGTAGAGCTGTTATTTTCTCTAGTGTGAGTATTCTCCAGTTTCTTTATGTGGGCACTTAGTGCTATGAACTTTCCTCTCATCACTGCTTTAAAAGTGTCTCATAAGTTTGTGTATGTTATGTCTTCATTCTCATTGAATTCTAGTAAGTCTTTAATTTCTTCTTTGACCCAGAGATGATGCAATTGTGCATTGTTGAATTTCCATGAGTTTGTAGGTTTTCTCCAATTTGTGTTGTTGTTGAATTCTAACTTTAAAGCATGGTGGTCTGATAAGACACTGGGGTTTATTCCAATTTTTTGTATCTGTTGAGGTTCCCTATGTGTCAGAGTATGTGTTTGATTTTAGAGAAGGTTCCATGTGGCACTGAGAAGAAGGTATATTCTTTTGTATTTGAATGGAATGTTCTATAAATGTCTGTTAAACCCAATTGGGTCATAACTTCTATTAGCTCCTTTGGTTCTTTGTTAAGTTTCTGTCTGGTGGTCCTGTCTAGTGGTGAGAGTGGGGTGTTGAAGTCTCCTCGTACAAGTGTGTGAGGTTTTATGTGTGATTTGAGTTTTAGTAATGTTTCTTTCACAAATGTGGGTACCTTTCTATTTGGGGCACAGATGTTCAGAATTGAGGCTTCATCCTGATGGATTTCTCCTGTGATAAACATGAAATGACCTTCTTTATCTCTTTTGACTGATTTTAATTTGAAGTCTAATTTGTTAGATATTAGGATTGGTATACCAGCTTGTTTCTTGTGTCCATTTGATTGGAAAATCTTTTCCCAACCTTTAACTCTGAGGTATGGTTCGTTTTTGAAGTTGAGATGTGTTTCTTGTATGCAGCGGAAGGATGGATTCTGTTTTTGTATCCATTCTGTTAGCCTGTGTCTTTTTATAGGTAAGTTAAGACCATTAGTATTGAGGTATATTAATGACCACTTGTTTGTTTTGGATTTGTTGTTGGTGATGGTATTGTGTGTGTATTTTCCCCCTTTTTTCTGTTGGCTTTTGGTAAAGTGGGATTATCTATTGCCTATGCTTTTGTGAGTGTACTTAACTTCCTTGGGTTGGAGTTTTCCTTCCAGAACTTTCTGTAGGGCTGGATTAGTGAATATGTATTGTTTAAATCTGGCTTTTCATGGACTGTCTTGGTTTCTCCATCTATAATGATTGAAAGCTTTGCTGGGTATATTAGTCTGGACTGGTATCCATGGTCTCTTAGAGTTGGTAGAATATCTATTCAGGACCTTCTGACTTTCAAAGTTTCCATGGAGAAGTCAGGTATAATTCTGATAAGTCTTCCTTTATACGTTACTTGGCCTTTTTCCTTTGCTGCTCTTAATATTCTTGTATGTTTGGTGTTTTGATTATGATGTGGTGAGGGAACTTTTTTGTGGTTCACTCTATTTGGTGCTCTGAAAGATTCTTGTGTTTTCATTGGCATGTCTTTCTTTAGGTTGGGAAAGTTTTTTTCTTCTATGATTTTATTGAATATGTTTTTTGTAACTTTGAGGTGGGTTTCTTCACCTTCTTCTATAACTATTATTATTTGGCCTTCTCCTGGTGTCCCATATTTCCTGGATATTTTGTGTTAGGGATTTTTTGAACTTAAGATTTTCTTTGATGAATCTATTTCTGCTAGTGTATCTTCAACACCTGAGATTCTCTCTTCCATCTCTTTTTTTCTGTTAGTCATACTTGCATCTGTAGTTCCTGATTGTTTGCCCGGGTTTTCATTTCCAGTATTCCCTCAGCTTCTGTTGTTTTTTTTAATTGTCTCTATTTCAACATTCAAGCCTTGCACTGTTTGAATTGTTTCCTTTGTTTGTTTGGTTGTTTTTTCTTGGCTTTCCTTGTTTTCTTTAAGATATTTATTTCTTAGAATTTTTGGTTTGTCTTTAACTCCATTTCTATCAATTTTTTCTGTTAATTTTTTGTTTGTTTTTCTTCCATGTCTTTTCTCATTTCCTCTTGAGAGTCTCTATCATCTTCATAAAGCTCTTCTTAGGGTCATTCTCTTCTGCTTCATCTGTGTTGGGATGTTCAGGTCTTGCTGCTGTGGAGTCCCTAGACTCTGGTGGCATCATATTGATGTTTCTGTTGTTGAGTGTTTTCTTATACTGTCATCTTCCCATCCCTTCTTCCAGTGGGTGCCAGTGGGGTCTCTCCCTCTCCTGGTGGGTATGGCTCCAAGGTTCGTGCAAGCAGGTCCAATACTCCGATCCAACTGTGGGAGGAGGCGGGACTAGCTAGTAATGTAGGCAAACTCTGGATGGACTGGTCTACCAGGATAGTGTCCCCCTCCCCTTGCACCTTTCCCAGACCCCAAGAGGCTCTGAGCAGGGTACCTCCTCCCATGGGTGACAGGTTTTTGTGATTTTTAATTTTTAAATCTTATGGGTATGAGTGCTTTACCTGAATGTATGTCTATATACCATCTGTGTGGTGTGTCTTTAGAGGCTAGAAGAAAATTTTGGATCATTATGGAACCGGAGTCACAGACATTGTCACTGCCATATGGATGCTGGATATCCAACCCAGGTCTTCTGCAAGAGCAGCCAGTGTTCTTAGGAACTGAGTTATCTCCCAGCTCCAGTCGTTTATCTTTTGAAAGAAAACAATCCTTTCTTTAATTTGTGTTTTGTAATGCATTTGGTCTCCGTTTTGCTTATTTTAACTTGGAGTCTTGTCTAATTGATCCTTTCTTCCGTTCTGCTAATTATGGTTTTTCCCTTCTTTTCCCATTCCCTCGGTTGCAGTGCTGGGTTGTTTATAGTGTTTCTTTCCTCCCTCCCTCCCTCCCTCCCTCCCTCCCTCCCTCCCTCCCTCCCTCCCTGTGTCTCTCCCCCCCCCCGCTCTCTCTCTCTCTCTCTCTCTCTCTCTCTCTCTCTCTCTCTGTCTCACACACACACACACACACACTTATGAACTTCATTAGTGCTGACTTTTTGATATTCCTAGGTTTTGGTATTTTGTTTTTTATTTTCACTTTTCTCATGGATTTTAACTTCTCTTTTGACTCTTTCTTGACCCTAGTCACTTCCTTTGGGCTCACTAGTCCCTTCTCTTGTCTCTAGGTCCAATGCAGGGCAGCTAGCATGGTGGCTCCTTAAGTGAACCCACCCTCCCTCAGTAGTTAAGCATTTGCTACCACCCACCAAGGATTTCAAAAAGTTAGTAATTCATTTTTCAGTACAAATTAGCAGCAAAGGGCTAATGGTGGCATAGCTATTGGACACTATCATCTGGATACCATGGCGGATTGGATCACTGTTATGCATAAGTCTGGAGGAAGATATGATGCAATCCAAGCAGTACATCGCCACAAAGAAACTCAAGAGCAGCAGGATGGTCTGGGCGGCCCTTTGCTCTGGAGATGCTTTTGGAGAAAGTGCTGTAAAGATGCTGGGACTGCTTCTGTGCCTGCACAGGAGAGTCAGCATGGACCAGCTGGAGAGGACCATGAGACCTACAGAGGGCACATCCCAAAATAGCCTCAATATGGAAGATAAGCGCCTGCTGATAGAACTCATGGGTAAAATAATGCAGGATTCAGTGACAAATATGAGCCAGTGTGAGGTGACGTTGTAGTCAGCAACAGAGGAGAATGAGAAGTGAGCTCCACAGGACATGTAGAAGGCCCACAGCACAAGAAGGGAACACAGGCTGTGCTGTGGGGGTTTATGTTTGAACTTTGTCAAATAGGAGCTTCTGGGGCTGAGGGTGACAGCCTGGAGGACACTCATCAGGCAGGTAGCACAAAGAGAGAGGCACCTCAAAAACCTGTGCAAGTGGACAAGGGATTGACACGTGATGTCACCCCATGTATTCTGAGATGCAAAAATGTCAGCAGCTGTGACCCCCATGATCATTAGCATCCCAAAATGGATGAGGACCAGGAGGCTGGTGAGCAGGTCAGTGGTCCAGGGCCTGTGTTCAAGAAGGAACTCGAGAATATGGAAAAGGAGGAGGATGCTGTTGGATGAAATCCCAATGCCTACTTCAGAGAAAAATATGTTTTGTATGTCAACAATTTCATAAAATGTGCTGATTCTTCTCATTGTATGGTACAAAGAAATAGAGTAAGTGTCTGAGGAGAAAACCAAGAGAAATTCTCCACCACAAACAATAATGATATCATTGGCACCCACCCTATTGTTGTCAGGAAAACTGATGGACCCAGCTCAGTACCCCCCTCAGAACTCAAATCTCCCTGAAGCCCAGTGCCTCATCATTTTGTCATGGCTGGGTTATGTGCATACTGACTGTTCCCCTCCACACCTGTCGTTCCTGTGCATTAAAATGATCACAGATTGCAGAATTGCTTCTGTACTAACGCCTCATTTTTGAGGTTTTCAGGGGCATTGTAATACATAGATTTTATTTTTGTCATCTTACCAGGTATAGTAAAAGCTTCCCATGTTTTATTTCAAATGCAATGCATTCTCATTTAGTTGCTGTTGCTGTGATTAAATACCCTATTCAAAACAGCATAGGGGAGGAAAGGGTTTATTTGGCTTACACTTTCAAGTTACAGTCCATCATTAAGGAGAAGTGAAGTCAGGAACCCATAGCAGCAAGTGAGGTCACATCTACAGTCAGGAGCAGGGAGATGGGGCTGGAGAGATGGCTTAGAGGTTAGGAGCACCTGCTGCTCTTGCAGGGCAGTTGGGTTCAGTTCCCAGCCCCTAAATCAAATAGCTCACAACCAGCTGAAGCTGCAGCTCCAGGCAGTCCAATGCCCTCTTCTGGCCTCTGTGGCATCTACACTCATATGCCTATAATGCATACACATAATATAAAATAAAAAGTAAGGGAATCTTAATTTACACTAGAAATCTTGATGTAGATGTTTGATGGAATCTTTCCTATAAAATGCATGTTGGGGCTGGAGAGATGGCTCAGCGCCTAAGAGCCCTGGCTGTTCTTGCAGATGACTGGGTTTGATCCCTTGTACACACACAGAACCTCACAATTGTCCTTAACTCCAGCCCCAGGGGATCCAAGGCCCTCTTCTATGGGCACTGGATGCATAAGGTATACAGTCATAAATTCAGGTTCACCATACATAAATTTTTAAAATTTAAAATACATGCTTATATGCTCTCTTCTGCCCTCTGTGAGCACTGCACACACATGGTACACTGATGTACATGCAGGGAAAATACCTGTACACTTACAATAAATAAATTAAAAACAATTTAAGGTTTTCATCCAGACCTCTTATACAGGAAGAACATGCTGCTCTAATTTTCCAGTCACATGCAGGAAAGGAATTCATAAACAGTCAGGGTTTGAAAGGCCGCTGTCCCACAGCTCATGATGTGTTCTTGCACATAGAAGCCCGTAAGTTCCTCAGAGAAGGTGAGTGTGTTTATTGTTCATGAACATGTTACACTTCTAAAGTCTCACAAGTGCGGTAGATACTCGGTGAAAACCCTAAAATGTGGATTTTCCTTCCATTTGAATTAACATTGATTTATACTTAAGATGTGGAGTACAGTGGTATCATAGTTGGACACATCTCTGTACTCTGGTCTGACTAAGTCAGGATAATGTTCATCTTCTCAAATACTGTCATTTCTCTGTTTGAAACCTTCAGTCCTACGGATTCCTTTGAAGAGTACAAGCTGTTGTTGTGTTACGCCACAGTGCTACAAATCATGGCCCTGCACCAGTGTGCCTTCTGTTCTGTATCTAACTTCTGTCCTGTCCCACATTCTCCCTCTGGCCTTGACTGACCCCCATTCTTCTCACTACTTATGTGTAATAAGCTTTGTCACTTCCATACTGACTGAGAACAGACAGCATTTGTCTGAAAGTGAAAATTTGCAACTCCAAAAAGAAAAGTTTATCTTTCCACAGTGATAGCCCCGGCATTCGGACATTGCCTTCTCCAGCCTCTGGTTCAGTGCACGTGGGTTTGCTCCCATGGGAAAGCACAGCAAAGACGTCAATCGCAGAGGCTCATCTGTGTCCAGTCTTCAGTGGGTCATGGTTGATAACTAGGACACTGCCCCATCTGTTTCTGTGATATATATATATATATATATATATATGTGTGTGTGTGTGTGTGTGTGTGTGTGTGTGTGTGGTGTATCTTTTTTTAAGTATATTTGGGCACCACCACTGCCTGACCCACTTATAATATCTTAAGAGTAACTTTGGGTTTGTATAATATAACCAATGTTTAAAAGCAATTCTAATATTGCCTCTACTCACATCACTTCTGAGAAAAATGGGCTCTCTGCATTTTACCTTATTTTAAACACATGAGATTTACAGACCAAGCAATATAAACCTCACACAATACCAAGCTTTAATTTCTGTGAATCAAAGTGTTGGGTGCTATCAGTGTGATGTGGCTAACTGTCCTTACACACACTGAGGGAAAGGGCTGCATGGGTGCTGTGAACTTACCACAATGATCATGATTTGTTGACTTATTTTATAATTGCTTCAAAACTACTACAAAGCTTTTCCTTCAAGCTAAATTTATGGAGATAACAATGGAAAATACTAGCTCTTTTTTCCAGAGTAAAGTTCAGACACACTCTATTGGCATTGTAGGCAACAATTCACCTTCCTCAATACAGCACCAGGAGAGGCTGCAGGAAAACATCCCACTAGTCATTCAACACAAACAACTGGATGGGCAAAAATGGCTCACTTATGCAAATAACATGGATCATTAAAAGAAAGGCACTTAATGACTTCTGAGCCAATTCACTTTAAAAATGACTTAAATTTTTTTTCATTTTTATTTTGTGTGTATGTGGCATTTGCTTGATGAATTGCTGAACTGATCCTGCATAGTCACCATGCCCTGAGAAATCCTTCTCTTCTGCCTTCACTGCTGCTCGGAATTCAGGGAAGCAGATCATGGAGACAGAGCATGAGTTTCTAAAATGTCACATTTGAATAACCCACAGTGGGAATTTCGTGTACTGACATTCAGGGTGAGTGCCAGTGAACATCATTATCCTTACATCTTGAAGGAAGCTTGATTTGAAGGTAAGGATGTAATGATTTCACAAGATAAATGATAAATGTGTGTTCATTGGGGAACATTTACACAGATCATAATGAAGAACCATGGGAGTGCTTCTCTGCCCTTCCTATCAGATCAGCTGACCCAAGAGAAAGAGCCCACACAAGCAAGACCATACCTCACACTTCCCTCTTTCTGCTGCTGTCCACCTGAAGCCACACCCAAAGGGGTGTGTCCACTGTTACAGGTTCACTGGCAAGACACCGCTACAATTCCCCTTATAGTCTAATGAAGAAGGTTTTAAGCCTGATGAAAAGACTATATACAATGATAATAAATGCCAAGTATATTCCAGGAAAGGAAAGGTAAACATACACAAATTGAAACCCACTACTATCGAGAGCAACATTGAGCAATAGATACATACTACATGTCAGTCCTAATCTGGAAAGTCTAAGTCTTGTCTATCTAATATAAGAGAGGACACTGCTATGACTGTCTAGTATTCAGCCTCATTAAATACTTTAGAAGGAAAATAACAGTGCTAGGGTAGGCAGGAAGTGCAAGCGTGTGACTTCCTAAAGGTGCAAGTGAATACAGAAACAACAGGCTACCTGGACACTCACCCAAGGTCTCATAGTAATGTCGGGGCAACCAACTCTGGCTAGGTTCTAATGTATCAGACGGTCTGTCTCAGAAGTAGGGAAATTGAAAAACTGTTTTACCCTGACTTGACAAGGTTCAGCAGTCTTCTTTAAGTTTATCTCCTGCAAGCCCAGTTAAGACAACATGTCCAAGGTCAGTGGTTGAGGTGAGGGCAGTTCTTTCGCCAAGAGGCCAGTAGCCATGGAGAGAACGAACTCCAGATGGAGTGTCATCGGTGCCCAGCATACTCTCAGGAATAGCTTGGTGCTGTCAGGAGCAATTGTGTCTCATGTCAATGGGGTACTAACTATTAAAACATTTAAATGCCGTATTCTGCAGGTCTTATGTTACTTAGAAGTGTTCAAAGATCAAATATCTATGTCTGACTAACCTCATTGGTATAAGAAGCATGGGTAACTATAATCTGTAATTCTCAGAAACAGAATTTAGCAAGGACAATGACTTCAAAAATGTAACCATACACACACACACACACACACACACACACACACACACACACACACACACATATATATATATATATATATATATATATATATATATATATATATACCAACCTCAGAGGTAGAACTGAAATGTCTTGACTAGAGGTAGAACTGTAAAGTGCAACATGAGAAAATATCCTAAATTGTATCAATATACAAAATATATACATAAAGATAGTTTTATATTTGTGTACAAAATATCCTAAACAGAAAGAAGACCCTACTCAGTCAACATACAAGAATCTAGCAATGTAAGTTATCTATAGCTAATAGTTGCTAAACTTAGTTCATAAGAAAATGTTACTCTACCTATATGCCATCCTAACCATACCCTTCCCATCCATACCTTTAAACTTTTCTAAAAGAGATAAGTCTGACCATTACCTTCCATACCCAGCCTACACAACTTAAAAGCAATCCTAAGCAGGTAATAATAATCCCTTTTTCATCAATGAGGAAAGAACCCCAAAATACCCTTAATACCAACAGTAAGGAAAGGGGGCATTGTTTTCTTAGAGTTACTTCCTGCTGAAATGGGGCAATGGTGAATCTATGGGATCCTGCAGGAAAAAAATAAAGCAATGGTAAAGTCTCCAGAGGACTAGCTGTAACATTTGTAGCTAGTCTCTAAGTAGCAGGTGATGCTTGTCTGAAGTTCTTATCTGAAGCTTTGGCCAGAGTGTTATAAGAAGGTGCACCATCTCAACTAGCTAATCTGGAATTGTCTAGAGCAGTATTCATCCCAAACTGGTCCTAGAGTGGTGTTTACTTGTTCAAAGACATCAAGTTGAATCAAGTGGAATCGATGAAAGAAGACGGGCCCCATCTTCTTTCCGGAGATTTCAATGGTTGCTGTTAGAAAAACATTTTTTCTCACTATGGAAGACTTAAACATTAATATCAACACAGAAAGTTTAAC